CTTTCTGGAAATCGTCCCAAAGTTTGAAAGGTTTTTATTTCTCCACCAGAATACGATTAGTTTTAGGCAAAACATATCTTGTAAGATTCATCATTGTATATGCATTCAGTTTTATTCCAAGCAAAGCAGAAGTTGCACAATTTTAAAGACACCGCAGTGGGCTTGGTCCCTTTCTGCTAAACGCTGTCCAACTGATTTTTTAACCGCGGAACTCGATAGCAGAATGTACATAAACTCGTACGCCTGTAGTCGGACGACGACGGCTTGACGGTGTCCCCAAATTGATTAGGTTTTGCCATGATTAGTTGCAAAAGAACCGTGCACTGATCATTAATAATTTAGAGAGTGTTCCCGGCAAGATAAAATAGTCATAAAAAACGGTAGGGGGTCCAGATATTTTTTTTACAGACTGTGCTGTAACTTTTGAAATATTTGACCAAAAGTTTTGATCTTGGTCTTAATCGATAGATATTGAGTTGATCTTTCAAATGAGACCAAGATCAAGCCTCTAGCTATCATGGTTTTTGAGTTATGGAACCAGTCTCGGTACTTTTTGGACAGCCTATGTAGAATTTGTACATCACAAAAGCTGGGTTTCTAGTATAAATTGTCTCCGCTTGGACCCCGTCTATTTTTGTCCTACACACATACGAATATACCTACGTACGTGCGTCTTCTTATATGAATAGTCGGCGTTTGTTTCCATCCTCAAGTTGTACTTCTGCGGTTAAGGAGCCTGTCATTCATTCGGGATGACTGGCAGACTCTTCTATTTTGTTCTTGGAGTGGTGGCGGCTTTCAATCGTAGCCCAGCCTATTTCGGTTTGCACAACGAGGGGCGGGGTGCGGGGCGCCTCACTCCGCTCTACTTTTGAATTCAAAAGAAAAATGGTCCCGCCACGGCCACATGCCTCGAAAGCTGCGTCTCGGAAGAGCCACAAGCCACAACCACGCTTTTGGTTTTCACTCGAGAAGTGCTTTGAATCGACGCTGTCAGCTTCGAGCACCTGTTAGGGTTGCCAGATTTTCATTGAGATAAAAAATAAGATAAATCAGGGAGATGGCAAATTTGGAAAACCGAGAGTGTCGGGAAATTTTATCAGGTCAGATAAACTGGGTAAAATACAGGAAAGTCAGTGGAATGTATGAAAAAGACTGGAAGTTTGAAAAATAATGAAACTTGAAATCTGAAGAAATGTCAGTTTTGTACTTACAATTAAATTGACAATGAGCCTGATAAAAAAACCTTTTATATTTCTATCATTTGCGAGGGAATTAGCGCAACAAATATTTCAGTTTCAGCTCGAGGCGTGCAAATTTTTGTCGTGGAAAGTCAGGGAAATTAGATCATTTTGCCGTGGGGGAAAATCTGAAAAATTTAGGGGATATTTTCTTGACAAGTCTGTAGACACCCTGAAAATAGGCCCCAAAAAGAATAATTGTACAAGTTTACGTCGCAGAAAAACGCCGAGGGTTCTTTAAGTGTTTCCTTTTTAATTTTTTGCGCTGAGTCTAAGAAATAACCATACAGGGTGATCCAAAAGTCCCTTCCACCCCCTCTAACTTTTTACCTAATTGAGGTAAAGATTTGAAACTTGGGGGATATTCCTAGGTCAAAGGGAGCTACTTTTTGGCCCCCCTAAAATTTTCAGGGGGGCCCCCCTTGGGGGGGCAACGGCCCCCAACTTTTAATTTTCAAATAGGAAGACCCCCTTTGTGATAGCTCGTTCGAAAGAGCATAAAAAAAGAAAACTTTTCGCGCAACCCCGAAGTCAATATTTCAAACCGTTTCAAAATGGCGGCCGGTTAAAGTTCAAAATGGCCGAAAATTCACACCGGTTATTTGTCGATGGATTTGCGCGAAAATCGGTATGAAGGGGTATTTTGACACGAGAAAAACGAATTT